AGCTGACTGTGCTGGTTATGTTCATATATAGATGCATTGTAACAGCAACCTCTGTTGCATGTTGTTGATCATCGGCCTCTAGCGATGGTAACATGCTGGCACATTGAAACAAATTACGTCATGATATTTTTATAATTTTGAATATCATCACACTGATATCACACATATCAATCAGCTAATTTGCATAATTTTATCCGACGGTAAATTGCCAATATTTTTTTGAATGCAAAGACAGTTTCATATAGCCCTTAGAGCGGGAGGGTCGTCACCTGAATTGAGTCCCAAGCGATGATAACAACAAACGCTAACAACGCACAGGCTCATGGGTAGACGCTTGTTTGTAAACAATGACACGCTATGGCCACCTGACGCATGCTCACTAGGAATTGAAACATGCCTGTCTTTTTTGTGTTTGTTTTCACATTGACACACTTGAGATACACGCAACGTTGGTTACTAAGTAACCATACGTACGACTGGGGACTTAATATTATTATTTTATTTATTATATTATATTCTTTTATTACTGGAAAGGTGTTTGAATTGACAAGTTTCTAGCTCCGCCATTACCTTAGAAACGTGCGCGCTCTGGTGTAAAAAACGTTCCAATCTAGTATGATTGATTTCGCCACGTAAAAGTTCGATATCTCATCAGAACGCCGGAAGCCAGGGAAACCAGCGAAAGAATTCCACGAGCTAGAAATCACCCCCCACCCTTTCCATATTCTCGCACGGAAATCGACCGATGGTGCTAAACTAATATAAATTGCGAGTGTTTTTTTGTGACGTTACTATCAATTAATCATGATTTGACTAATTTGTATCAGACTGTGTCGCGAATTCTGAAATGTGTCAACTTGAATCCTTCATTTAGTTTTGTCATGTACTAAAGTTTATTTCAGATTTTGATGAATATCCAAACGTTTTAGGATATTGGCAATAGACAATGTTGTGGTAATATTATCTGAATGGTTATTGGAGATGTATCATATTAAATATTTATAGAATATTCAGAGATATTGTATTGGTGGCCCAAGGGACAGCCCGACTGGCTGGCATGCTTCAGCCCAATCTGTGTACCCCAGGTTTTTAAAGATATCTGGTAATAAGCTAAATTTCACTCGCTAAATCTCGGGAAAAATAAAACAAACAAAGGAGTTTCCATTAATAACAGACAGACATGTACAACATGTGACTATGGCCTTTGACAACTTCCTCTTTACATAAGTACAAGCGTGTTTGTACAAGCGCGGAAAAAAATAAAACAACAAAGGAGTTTCCATTTAAAAACTGAGGGGCGTTGGTAATTTGGGGAAAATTTCGAGAGTGGAGAGAAGTATATATATATATATGTGCTAGACGTCTGTGTAAAGTGAGATAACTGTGAAAAGATGATATTACAAACACTATGCGAATACAAAATTTGCCATTTCCTTCTGCCCCTCACCTAAGATTTAAAATGGAAACCCTAAAACATAAAAACATACCCATCACGTCCCGGATCCCCAGGCAAAACTCCGTCATCGGCTACGATATCGTAATTTGGCAGCCCACGCGATTGATAAGATGCATCAATAATAGCTGTGTCGCCAACAACTGTAAGATTGACAGCGGTAATGTAAACATTACGTCCGTTCCATTTTACGTGACCTTTGACCGTTAGGCTGACAGCTTGTAGATATAAATCTTTGCATGGGTCGTACAAAGCACTGTCGTCGCTCAAGAAAGCAGAAGTGGCCAACACTTCAATACGATCAGATGACACCTGCGTAAACAACATGCAACATATGATTTTAAATACTGTGTTTCAATTCTTGCACGTAAAGTGCGTCCAATGTAAGCGCAATGTAATATTAAAGCGCGATGGTCGTCGTGCAGCGCGTGTTCGAATTTCATGTAAATAAACAATGTATTTTACACGCGTTGTATACGTCGCTATGAGTCCCATATCAAACAGGACGCGGCGCGACGACTGCCGCCCTTTAATATCCTACTAGATGCGGGAGTTAGAGTCCCTTTATACTGTATAAAGGGACTCCAGTGTATGTAAATATCTTGCGCCCGCTATAAGTCATGTATAATTCAAGTCACTTTTATAAACGCACTTGTAGAGCCTAAATTAGTATATATACCAATGAATTAATCAGGAAACTTATTCAAATGTTGGAACAGTCATGGTGAAATTGCAAGATAAACTATCATAACGGAGGTAGGCTGAAAATGCACGTTTTGTTAATTACGAAAAAAGTACAAAACTATTATGAAAAACTTATTAAACAAGGAAACACGGGAGTCATGAATGCATTTAGCGAATCGGACTGAAGGTATACTATTTAAATCTAATTTTGATGCAAAATATTTACCTATGATATTTTCTACTTTCACCTCAGATTATCGGAAAAGCATAGTCCGAAGTGATATTTCAGTAAGAGAGGAATCAGTATATTTATTGAACATGACTAATTCCGTGTGCCATATTGAAGTTAAACTAATATTTGTGGGTGCATTTACAAGTCTGTTAACACAATTGTTATAATTATGCAAGAAATCTACTAACTTATATCCAAATCAATAAATAGATCAACATACAGTAAACTATAAACATATATTTAAATTGACTTTAATATTAATTGCCCAGTTATGCAGTCTCGGTTCCGGTTCCGCGTTTTCTCGCAACCGAACTATTTTTCAATTTCCCCTGGGATTAAGCAAACTTTGTTTTGGCTTATGCTGCCTTCAATCATGATGTATTATGTGGAAGTCATGAAACTGAAACTAAAATTACACACTACCTTGCGATAGAAACCGTCGTTGATCACGAAGTTGTTTGTTTCGCCCTGAGCTACGTGCGGACAGGTGGGATCACGTGCCCTGTAGTTAGTGGAACTAATGGGGGATGAAAGACTGCCCAGTAACCCCTGTGACGTCATAGGTTTGTAAAGAATTATCTTGTTTTTGTTGCTGGATAACGCATGCGCGGTGTCATTGACAGACTGTGTGTCACCTCTCGAGGGTCTAGCAAATAATGTAGTCCCGCTAGTTGTCTCAGTCGAGACTACATCCATACCAGCGTTAATGCCTTGTAAATTACTGGCTGTAGTCTGCACCGTGGTATATCGGAAATTTGTGCTTAATGTCATAGATTTCAAACATGGTTTGGTTTTCTCGAAATATGAAGGTCCCTTCATTTTCATCAATCACTGTGTCTGGTGCATCTTTCACTCGTTCATAAAGCGCATCTAAGTCCACGCCACCCTCCATCAATTCAACTACACTAATCTTACGTCTGACTGAGGCATTGTCGTCATCTTTACCCTTAGAAAAGTGACCCGGCACGGGGTTCAACGAAGATATTGACAGTGAGTCCCTAACCCAACCAACTGTTATTGGTGGAATATTACTTCCGCGCCATGACGACGCCAGATCGATGGAAATTGAATCCTGCAGTTCCTCCGAGGTCGGCTCTGTTGCAGCAGATTCGGAATTCAAATCGTCGCCATACTGCTCAAACGATAATATTTTTTGGGGGCTCACGATCGCCTGTGCATTTGTCAATGTGGCGTTGTTTCTTGGGTTAAATGCTTTGTTTGACGACTTTGGTGGATGTATGTTGGTCGTTTCTGCTTTCGAAGTTACCACCTCAGCCCTTTCTTGTAACTGACGTTTCTCTCTGACCCCCATGGCAAGCAGAGTAATATGTTCACTATGGCCGCCTTTCTCTCCGATCAGCACGTTCGCAATTTCCCCATTGTCTGGTGGCACCACCACTGAACTCAACTCATTTCCAGCATTGCCGTCCACCTTCACAAAATTTGTCTTCTGCATGCCAAATTTGCTTTTACGACCAAGCTTGTGAGCGTTTCCTTCCGTAGTTCTTGACGGTTCCTGGCTGTTAACACCAGTCATAGAAATGGCCGAACAATCCTCCCAAAATAAGGAAGTGAAAGCTGCAATACAACAAAATCGGGACTGTGTTAATGACACATATAGGGGACTATCGTCTCTGCTGATAATTGTCTCTGTCATAATTGATAAAATAAAAAAGTCGCACTGATCATTTGTTTTTCTTTATTTACATTGTCATACGCTACTATTTTACGTCCACCGATACTATGCAAATGTCATTGACAACTGCCGGTGCAAATCAAAATAATAAATAGACAAAAACTTCAGAAAGTACTCACTGAAAATAAACATCAGTCTCTGTTTGGAAAACATGTCGGCCGTACTAAAACAGACGGAGCCTCGCCATATAGCCACTGTGTCACTGCTTGTCGAGTGTGTGTGGGGATGTATTATATACCGAAGTTCGTCAATTGACATGGTCACGTGCCGGGAATTTCCAGGCAAGAAACACACTCATAACGGAAATAACCACAATTCATCATTGCATGCTAATGAAAAAACAAACTAACGACATGTTTCTACTGGCCAATGAGATAACATTTAACCTTTCGCAAATGATATCATTACACCCTGTGCTCATTGATTGCTCTTCCTATCTGTATCCTATCAGATAAGCATATTAATGAGGTCATATGACCATATATATGGCAAAAAGAAATGTAACTGATTTCTCAGGTCAGACACAATTCATAAGTGCATTGGCTGTATGTCCGTAACTGTAACATCTCCAATATTAACGTTATGAATATTAATGAGGTTGAATTACCATATATGACATGATATCATTTAGCATGATAGTCACAAGTCTTGTGCAATAGCTTCAATATTGCACTGGTTACATGATCTTTCCTGTAACAGTGCTTGAGATAATAAAGTTATGCATATTTACTTAGGTCACATGTTTATGTATGATCATCTGATATGTTTGTCGCAATTCTTGTCTATTGGCTATAATATTGCACTGGTTGCATGTCCCTCTCTGCAGTAGTGCTGTAGATATTACCGTTACGTATATTAATGAGGGTCACATGACTATATATGATCATCTGATATGTTAGTCACATCTCTTGTCCCATAGCTTCCATATTGCACTGGTTGCGTGTCTCTATCTTTAACAGTGTTTGAGATATTACATTTATGCATATTTAATGAGGTCACTTAATCATGCAAAGTCACCTGATAAGTTAGTCACATGTCTTGTCCCATAGCTTCAATAGTGCACAGGTTGCATGTCCCTATCAGTGAAAGTGCATGAGATATTACAGTTGTGCATATTTAATGAGGTCAGATGACTTGTATGGACACCTAATAAGATAATCACATGACTTGTCCCATAGCTTCAATAGTGCACAGGTTGCATTCCCTATCAGTGAAAGTGCATGATATATTACATTTATGCATATTTAATAAGGTACAATGACCATATTGGGTCATCTGATATGTTAGTTACATTTCTTGTCGTATAATTTCAATATTGCATTGGTTGCGTGTTCATATGTGCAATAGTGCTTGAAATATTACATTTATGCATATTTAATGATGTCACATGACCATATATGGTCATCGGTTAAGTTAGTCACATCTGTTGTCCCATAGCTTCAATATTGCACAGGTTGCATGTATCTATCTGTAACAATTATTGAGATATTCATGCATATTTAATGAGTTCACATGATCATATATGGTCATCCGATATGTTAATTACATCTCCGTCCCAAGTATTGAATATTGCATTGGATGCATGTTCCTATCTGTAACAGTGCTAGAGATATTACAATTATCCATATTCAATGAGGTCACATGACCATATAAGGTCATCGGATAAGTTAGTCACATCTCTTGTGCAATGCCCACCCTCACGTTTCCCATTTTAGATCTGTATCCCACTGAAATGGGCAGTTATTGATTTTTTTGCTGAAATGATTACTCGTATCCAAGTAAATTTGGGATATTTCTCGTGTTGTAGCCACGCCCACCTATCCTGAAACGGTCGACTGTTTCAGGATTTCCGACTCTCGCCGAAAGTGCGCCACCAAATGCCAAAATGTGAGAGGAAGTCATACCCCTGAGCCGTAATAACACTGGTCATTCAGTATACTTTTAAACGGTATACATTTTTCAGTCGGCGTTTTTTGTCTATTTTCTTTTTTTTTGAGAGAGAGAGTTTTTAGATGTTGTGTTGTGGGCAGTTGCAGTGAAACGTATAGTCATAGTGTAAGTATTCACACGTTTCTAATCGATCCGAAGGTGCGACATCAGTGGACGAAAGCCACTTAACCTCAGATTCATTTTTTGGAAAAACTGTCCTCGTCCATGAAAAAAACAACTAGGTTTAAAGAGAAACGCCGACAACATAAACCTGGCGCAACACTTTTGAAAGAAATAGACCATGATCACCGAGGCGGATTTCAGAAGAGAGAGAGACGTCCGGCAAGTGTTTCAAATGAGTTGACTTTTTTGCGATCCTGAATATCATTTTATAGAGACCATTTAGTAAAAGCATGGAGGTAGAAAAGAGATACTACCTCCATGGTAAAAGTTAGCAATAATTTTGAGTGTCACGAAAACGAACCGTCGGACAAACAGGAAATTACACAGCCCTTACACACTGCTAATTGTTTTCATTTTCGAAGGCTAAAAGTTTCTGATTGTTTGGTGGTTTGGGTTGAATGTCGAATTCACACCTCTGTTCTTTTTTTACCTCCATGCTTGCAGCTTGATCTGCGTAATAATTTCTGAAATAAGAATCTGGGCTTGGTCAATGTGTTTCCACCAAATAAAGTTTTAACATGATGTTATAATTATGACAATCACGCCATGGATCACGCTAACTCGAATCCACTCTGAATTTATCTGTATGTGTGTCGATCTCGATTATTTTTGTTATCCAATTAAACGCCGCTTTTAACGCACTTGCCCTCATCGTGACCCGAGGCGTTCACCTATTTCAACAAAATTTCAATTTATTTCCACGTGGCTGTCATTTATTTAGTAACTTTGATTTGTCGTTTTTAAATTATTTTATAGTGATCACTATGGTCTAATGTTTAGAATGTCAAAATATGTTCTCTTTTATTTTAATTTTGAAAGTTTTACTCAGACGATCGATGAAATAAAACAGTGTAGTGACGTGCCTAGTAACCTGCTAAATAACGAGATAATTCCACGTCAAATTCTATTTTGTCCAGCGACAGTGTACAAACGTGCGCCACTGACGATCACGGTGATCAGCTACACCAGAACGAACATATTTCGCATCTAACTCAACCCCATGCAACAATAATTGATACTATGTTTTCATTATGGTCCATTCCTCCTCGACGAACAAGTACATAAGTGAAAATTTAGTCAAAGACGAGAAAACTGCAGAAGAAATTTGCCTTATTTACACGTATCGGCAATGCAAGCTGCCATGCGACTTCCCCTTCTGACGTCACAAGGGGAATTTCTGTATGCAAATAAGAAGCTAATGAGGAGCCTCGTTTTAAAATACACAAAAATAAAGTTGCCGTAGATTGAGTTTAAAACACATTTTTTCACTTAAAAAAATAATCCATGCTTAGAAACATGAAAAAATAATAATATTTATGTATCAATGGATAATTTTAGGCGTGAAAATAGCAGCCATTTCACAGGCACTTTTAGTATTGCACAGATTGCATGTCCCTTTCTGAAACAATGTTCGATATATTACATTTATGCATATTTAATGAGGTCACATGACCATCTATGGTCATCTGAAATGTTAGTCACATCTCTTGTGCCATAGCTTCAATATTGCACAGGTTCCATGTCTTTATCTGTAACACTGCTTGAGATATTACAATTATGCGTATTTAATGAGGTCACATGACCATATATGGTTATCTGATTTGTTAGTCACATCTCTTGTCCTATAGCTCCAATATTGCACTGGTTACACGTTCCTATCTTTAACGGTGCTTAAAATAGCAGAACATCCCCCCCACTTCCAGAATATGAGAAAAAAAATGTGAAAAACATTCCAAAATTTTCTTCCAAAAAACGGCTTATCGCCTGGACTCGCCATGTCACATGATCTTAGTCGAGAATTACGCAAATGAGATGCAAAAAATAATTTCAAAAAATTCTAGAAAAAAAAGTTGCGTGACCGCTAAAGTTTTTTTGATGAAAAACGTTTAGATTACACCGCCAAGTAGCCACAACCGGTGCTTTTTTCTCGATTTTGAGCCGTTTTCATCGGCTCTTCGACCGGCATTTTACATCATAGAAATGTATTGTATTGCAGCTTGAAATAATATTGGGTGTGGATATCTGTAATTGGGCAAGGTCACTTAAAGTAGAATGTTACTCACGAGTTTTTTTTTTTTACACGTGTACGTATTTTAGTGAATATAGCAATAGTAATGTTTTGTTTCACCATCTGTCTACAATTATTAGTTTAAGTAAAAGTCAACAGTTTGAATAAAAATAAGACACAGTTGACAAGGTAATAACAAGTATAATAACTGCGGGTGACATTACTCTTTGTCAAATAAAAAAAATTGTCAGTATGACTTCCGTGTAAACTATTCAACCTAGATTATTATTAAACCTAGATTTGACAGAGATGTAAATTAATTTTCACGTAAAAATCGTGAGCAGCATTCTACTTTATGTGACCTTGCACAATGACCTGTGCCCAATTTAAAAGATTCACACCCATTATTCAAGCTGCAATACAATACATTTCTATGATGTGAAATGCCGGTCGAAGAGCCGATGAAAACGGTTCAAGTTCGAGAATAAAGCACCGGGTGTGGCAACCAGGCGGTGAAACCTAAGCGTGTTTTATCAGTTTTCACTAATAAACTGTAATTAACAAATTTATATGTGACATTTTTGCGTCTGTGTGTGACATGAGCGGTTAGTCTGAAAAGTATCTATACCCGCTTGCATTTTCATAATACGTATCGTGGTTTGATATGAAGATTGACCATGAATTGACCCGGTGTTTTTGGAGCTATTCCCAGTGTTAAATAGGGTAAAATAATCAGTTGAACATGGTCTTATATCCCGATACCATATATACAACGTCCAAAAATTAAGCTTAAACGTAACTAAGTTTAATATTCTGATTGCTTTATAAAAAAAACAAAACACTCCCGCTCAATAATAAGTATCTAGCACATTTCGAGGGACTTTTTTTTTTTTTACCTAGAAACGAATCTTTGATTGATCTCGAAGTCCTGGGCGCCACATCGGAAAACTAGCTTCGGACCTCATGTACAGTAGCGCCCTCCAACAGAGCCACTCATATACCACAAGTTCAATCATTTGAACTCGTTGGGTGTACACTGCGTTATTATAGCTGAACCAAGGAGTGGCACACATTGAAGG